CAAGTATCTGTACTTTTACTCAAGTATGGAAAGTGAGTACTTTTGCCATCTCTGAAAACAACAGACTATAAAGAAAACTCTATACAAATATTTATATACTTTTTTTATTTAACCTTTCATGTTAACGGGATCAATATATATTTTGCTTGCAAAATTATTAAATTAAACTTAAGAGCAAGAGAGATACAGCATTTGAGCCTTTAAATATGCTTTTAGCACAACATATTTCACCAAATCAATGTTTTTGTTGGGTTGGGCTGTGGTTATACATTTTTTTAGGTGGAGCCCCGGCACCCACTGCCTCCTCAAAAAGACAATTTAAGTAATAAGCTAACTTTATTTGTTGAAAAAGAAATTGAGGAGAACAATAAATATTTATCAAGACTTTGTCAGTTATACAAAGGTAATATTAACTTAAAGTCATAACTTTAAGTCATAACTTTGTTTGTGGTCTTTACTTATTTTAAACTGAAGTGTTTGCAAGTCAAAATAAATTTGTATAAAGGAATAAGAGGAATTTATAAAAAAAATATATATATATATTTGCTTGTTTCAACATGGCCAGGTTTATTAAATTTAGTACATTGGTAGTTAAATTTTCTGCCTTTATTTCTCTGTTTTTCATATTCACTAACTCTAACTAACTCTTGTAGCCCTTGTGATGTTTTTGTACAAATTTTTGATGGACTGACTTCAGTCTCAGTCCAGTGCTTGTTAAACTTGTTAAACACCCAGAATCTTGAAGAAAGTTTGCTTGAATATTCACAAAAGGCTGCATTTTTTTACCTGTTGATATTGCTCCTTTTCTACCACATTTTTCTCTATGAATATGCTTGGATACAGCACTCTGTATCGGATGCTTCTCCAGTGACCTCTTGACCTTTAGCTTTTCAACCACGTTCCCTTTCCTCTTTGTACATAGTAATTTAGTTGAGTTTCACTAGTCTTAGTTGTGAGTGTTAAACTGAAATATGTTTGACTTGGAGCTGAATGATCTTTGTTCAAACTTATATTTTGTACAGGACTTACGGTGAATTTATTGCATGTATGTTTAGAATTAGCTGTTTGACCATGATAAGTGCTTGAATCACTCTTTCATTTATTTTTCAAACACACAGCTAGTAGGGCATGTGTCATAAACAGTATATAACAGCCAAAATAATATCTGATTAAATGAGATATTTCCCACCCCTACCAGGGAGCGCAATAAAGATCTTAAAGTATCAGAAACATAAATTCCCAGCTGGCTGGAAATAGAATTGAACAGAACATAAAATCACAACAAAGGTGAAAGAATAATTTTCACATGTTTTGTTTTTTCCACAGTATTCCAGCTTTATGAGACATTGGGTTTGGCTAACAGAGAGAAACTAATGTAAGAGGAAAACTCAAAGTTTGGGCATTTATTGTGAAAGGCCCCCCAGGTAACACCTCACTTGACCTAAAGATTCCTGACAGGGTGTTTTAGTTTGCTACTAGATTTTTTTTCTGATAGCTTAGGTCATAAACGGGACAGATGGACCCAGTATTCAAGTGGAGACGCCAGTAGGAAAGTTCAAAACGTTTATTGAAATAAAAACATAAAACAGACAGAACAGAAGAGAAGCTTCTGAGGATCTGCGGCCCACGGCAGCTGTGGGAGGGAGGCGGGGTACCACCCAATCACTGACTCTGGTTTAGGGAGAAACTATGGTTACCTGGTTAAACAGTTCAGTCCTTCCTCTCAATCTTAGGCAGGATAAGCTGATGCACTGCCAACGAGAAGCTGCCCTGAGCCATCCAAAGTGTCCCATATGCAGCAGTTTCAGGGCTGTGCATTGATCGGGATGATGGTTATAGATTTTCCTGTGCCAGGCAGAGAACAACTCTTCAAATGGATTCCAAAATGGAAAGTAGATAGGGAGCTTGAGTGCAGTGAAGAGTGGGTATTCTGTAAACCAGTTGCAGACCAAAGCAGCCCTATGGAAACTAACATTGTTCTCCATGATGACGTATCGGGTCTACACTTCCTCTGCCTCCTCTAATACTTACTCTTCCTGCTCCCTCCATTGTACTCCGCACAGACAGCCCAAACTTTGGCTTATTTATGGTGCCTAGGCTGCAAATTGAACTAATTATTTAAAGCAGCTTTAACATCTGACAGTGCACCAGACAGTTGGCAAAATAGTGTCAATAATAGCCATATGTGTGTATAGTTTTGCTAGAAGTGTGTTGATCATTTGGAAATTGAGTGTTAAGCTATGAGTTGTGTTTACAGTTCCGCAAAAACAGTGTTGTACAGTGGATTGTACTTACAGTTTTAAAAAGTGTGTCTTAAAAAAATGCAAAGTGGAAAGCAGTGTTTAAGCTTTTAGTTTGCAAAGTTAGTGAGTGGTTTTCCTATAATTATTAATAGTTTTAGAAATGTTGCCATAAAAATTACGGTTAGGGTTTAAGCAAAACAAACTATTACTGAGGAGGTGTGGTTGAAACTGTTGCTGTGTGTGATGACATTTTATGAGGTCTTTGATCAGCTGTTACAAAAAACATAATGTTGAGAATAAATCAGCCAGTCATAGGATATCGACTAGATTGAGCAACCTGTAATCTATGATGATTAAAAGAATTAAAGGCCCACTATGCAACATTTTTCAGATAATTAATGTGTTCCATAACGTTTTGGATGATTAAATGAGTCATTTCAGGTTGAACAAAGGTATTCTCGGCCGCCCTGGTGGTCTGTGGG